TTTTTACACTAAGTACCACCACAATGACCAATACTAGAATACATTAGCACAGTAGGTGCTAGCATTCATCCAAAAATTATTATTATTCAGATCCATTCGTCGGAACACAAACGTGTCAATTCCGATTGATTTATTTATTTTTTTTAAGTCATGCATTTTAACTTCACTGAGTGAAAAACCTTTTTCAGGGAGCACAGACACTGCAGCTGATGTATTTTTGTCCTGGTATTTTTTTCCCCCCCTCCCTCACCTCCTCCTCGTTAGTGCCCCTCCCTCGCCTCGTTGTTTCACTTATCCATTTAATTTGCACCCCTTTGTTCCCCACTCCTCTACCCGCTTCATAATACGTAACATGATTTAGACAGATTCCCGCCCCCTAAATTCACGCAGCGTAAATCTAATCCCAGCCGTTGCAGGTTGACTGCCATCCCTAACGTTTTTCCCCCCCCCCCCGCCCCACCCCAAATCCTGACACACTCTCTGCACACGACACAATGGACTCCTCCAGCAGCAGCCTGTTTGCATGATAACGCATTTTGTTTATTTATTTTTGTTTGTTTGTAACACCCCCCCCCCTTTGCTTGTACTCATGCTGACACGCAAGGTCGAGCGTGACTCTTTGCAATGCGCCGACAAGCTATAACATAACGTCGCTGCCAATCATTCAGCGCCCGCCATCATCGGCCATTGAAAAGGCGTTAGCTGCGGCCATTGCGGAGCGCCATCAAGGTCAGTGCGGATGATTCCAGCACGTAGACAAAGATGAAATACTTTGGTAAAATTCCCCCCTCTTCCTCCATCCCTTCGGTGTCCCAAAAGCTTACCTAATAGTGTTGTAACCTTGTGTGCTATAGTGCACCAGTGCATCATCAGTCAACCCTCGGCAGGTCAGGGTCTTGCTCTTTTCGTGACCATCCATCTGAAGCCAACAGCTGCCGCCGAAGAGAGAGTGGGGGAAAAAAAGTCAAGGAGATGCTGGAGAAAATAAAAACAAACAAGAGGTCCCACCTGGGACACGAGGCTGCTCCCGAAACAAACGCAGTGGTGCTCAGCCTCTTGTATGTTTGCCCAATTTCAATGAGTTCTACTATCCTGTTGTACTATCGATTTTTGTGTTGTCAGATGCGGGTTATGTTCAATTTGGCTCTTTCAATCAAAGAGAACCAACTTTGAGCACCCGCGCTGTTGTCATCACAGCCGGAAGAGTCCAAAAAAATGTAAAAAAGTGAATCAAGCACTCTGGTATCACGCCCAAAGCCAAAGAAAAAGCATGAGCCGACCCTTTGACGTATCTCGCGGTCCATTGCAGGTCCTTCAGTATCAGCAGGTGCCTTTCGAGCAATTATCACACTGGCAAAGGTCATTAGACCCAATTAGCCTCCTGCAGAGCATCTCGTGGCGGGAGAAGCAATATCAGGGCATCATAAAAGAAGCCTCGTTTGTGAGTGTGGGAAGGAAAAAAATAAGTCCAGTCAATCATCTGCTGGCACTTGTCAGGATTTCGACTTGAACTTGCTGGCATCTAGCTTTGCATCGATGATCAAAATAGTTGAATAGATGAATTTAGAAAAGAGATGAGTTGTCGATGACTGTATTTTACGCACTATAAGGCGCACCTAAAAGCATTCAATTTCCTCAAAATCCGACAATGCGCCTTACAATCCGATGCGCCTTATATGTGGATCAATATTCGGATTTCTTGGGCGTAGTCTTCTAAATGTTCTGTCAAGTGCTTTGTGACAGCTGCAGCGGTTGTGAAAGCTCTTATAAATAAAGCTGTATTGTATTCCCTTTAGTGTAGCTCCATCTAGTGGATGCATAACGCAACCGTAGCCACTATCCTAGCTTCTATTCCTTGCACCTTATAATGCGGTGAGCCCTCTACATGACAACAGTCTTAAAATAGACCATTCATTGAAGGCGTGCCTTGTACTCCGAAGCACCTTATAGTCTGGAAAATACGGTACACTATTCATATTTGCACCGCTAATGGAATGAATTTCCAACTGATTGATTGAAATCTTGAGCTGGAACATGAACCATGAACTCAAAACAATCGAAATCTAATTGAAATTAAAATAAAAAGTCCATAAATTTACATATTGAATGTTCAAAAAGGAGCAGGAAGGAGAAAACATGTAAAATTATTATTATGTATTGTTAAAAAAAATCGGATTTCATTTAAAATTCCGCATACAAATATTTAGATGTTACATGTGGTGCAGGCGGTCACAGTGCAGAGGGCATGGGTTCGATCCCAGCTCCGGCCTTCGTGCGTGGGTTTTCTCCGGGTAGTCTGGTTTCCTCTCACATTCCAAAAACATGCATGGCAGGTTAATTGAACACTTTGAATTGTCCTGAGGTGTGAGTATGAGCGCGGTTGGTTGTTCGTCTCTGTGTGCCCTGCGATTGGCCACCAACCGTTTCAGGATGTCCCCCGCCTACTGCCCGAAGACGGCTGGGATAGGCTACAGCACCCCCCGCGACCCTTGTGAGGATGAAGCGGATCGGAAAATGGATGAATGGATGGATGGACATGTGGTGTATTTATGGCGAATGTTTGCAAATACGTTCAATGTACATCATCATAATAATGACAACAACCAATCCTTACACTTCAGTTGTCAAAGCCTTCCACCCCTCCCCACTCCCCTAAATAACAAAAATAAAAGAATTCAAGTGGAACAAAAGTTGACTGAAAACGAGGTGTCTCATCCAAAGCGTGCAACGCTCTTTAAAAAGTGAGCTTTGCACTCTGCGCTGCCACCGATGCTTCCCATCGAACATCGGTGACAATACAGAGAAAGAGGGAGAAAAAAAAAGAAGCCCCCACAATGTTGTCTTTCTTCCCCCCGGTGGTGTTATTGTGTTCCCATTCAGTGCTGCCTCTATTCAAAAGGTTGATAGCGATCGTGCATTATTAAACAAAGCCAGACAACATGCACAGTGTTAATTAGAAAAGGGTGGAGTGGAGTGTGTGTGCGGGCGGGCGGCCGTGCGTGCGCGTGTGTTTGTTGCTCGTCTTCGACGTGATTGTGGTCCTTATCAGCTCAAGACAAGAAGGGGGAGGATTGCTGATGTTTTCCATAACGGACGCTCCCTCGTCACATTTTCTTTTTTTTTTTTGTGTGTGTGTGTTCAACCGACAAACCGACAGACTGTTGATGAGCTGGCGTGCCGAATGTGCTCTCTTCGACATGCCGGTGGTGAGCAGTCGTGGCCGTTTTGGCCTGAGTGGAACATGCACTTGTACCACACGCCTTGTGGTCTGTCAGCCCAAACCGACACTGAGGTCGGTCCAGCCTGAATGAGCCAGTCACACACACGTGCGCACACACACATACACACACACGCGCGCGCACACACACACACACACAGCGAGGGCGCAACCACTGGAAAGAGCTCAACATTTGTTTTGCATCTGTGGGGAAAGTTTTGACATTTGTGTCGTATGAAAGAATTCCATTTTTCATCGAGACACGAGCATCCAACTGACATTGTTTTATCGGTGTTATTTCGAGGCCAAACGAATGTCAGGTTTTGAAGGCGTAATCTATTAACTGGTTCGGTAGCAGAACAGTTCAGTCCCCGGAGCCTGTTTCATTTTGCTACGTGATTTTTGGTGGGTGCTTGCGACATCATGAATACCAAAAAAGTCTCAAGGAATGATAGATTGACAGGAAGTCAATTTCCATCCTTCAAAGACTTGTCTGACAACTTGTCCGTGAGATCCCCCCCCCCCCGCCCCCCATTGCAACAAAATTTGAACCACATTTACGAGAGCAGTGGTTCTCGGATTTTACAGAGAGTGCCACCTTGTAAAGTACTTTGCTCTAAAATACCACCTGAGACTGAAATACAGGATGGGGAAAATAAGAAACGGTACTTATGTAATGATTCATTTCAAAAAACAAAAAATACATAAACACTGCACCCTCCACCCCCACCCCCCAAAAAAAGTTGAAATGCAAATGTATTAAGCTTAGTGAAATACAACTGAACTGTGCCTGGCTCGCGATTATTTCTAGGACCACTGGCAACCCCCCCCCCCCCCCCACCTCTGCAAAAAAAAAAAACAGTTGCAACAACACAGAAAATGTTCCAAAGCGGACTTTTTGGAGTCATTTTTCTAGCAGTCCTTGAAAAGGCCAACTAGTCCTTAAGATTCTGTACGACTGATACTCACCTTGAAACATGAGGAGGATTATACAGAGGAGTGACATTATAGTCCAGAAGAAGGGCCCCACTCATCACTGCTCACGGCTTTAATTTGACTGTTTTCTGTTTGGGCTTCCTTTCCCAGATTTTATTCTTCATGATGTGCATTTTTTTTCCAGCAAAATGGCATTGGATTGGCTGAAATTTCGGACTATGGTGTCACCTGATGCGCTGGTGATGCGCATGAAGAAAATACCGTTGCCATACTTGCCTCAGTAGGATGTGTTTAAACTCCAGTACGTCAGTGTCGCGTACAAAAGTGCAGGGAAATACACAAATAGATATGCAGTTGGAATAGTTTTCTTATAGACGTTACGGCGACGG